GAACACGCGCTGCGCGACGACCACCGCCCTTTAAGAAAGTGAACAATTTTTTTTTTTAATATTAACGTAGTTTAGTATGCCACCAATTCCACATAATAAAATATGTCTACTCTAATCGTTGGGATTATGTTGATGCAAAATCATTAAACAGACCATTTAGTAAAATAAATGAAGTACACATAAACTCAATTCGAATCAATTCAAATCGAATTTGCCGGTCAAACACAATATAGGCATAAGAATAAAGAATGAATCCAACTAACGTTTATTAATTCAGCATATCTTTTGAAAAATGAGATTCAAAAAAAGCACTGAGTACACAAGTTATTTGAAAGTTAATATGTGTTGATAGTTGGTTATATGTGTTATCTGGTTCATGTTCACCGAATTGTTTTAAAACCCATATCACATCACTGTTCATTACGCCAACGCACAACACTGTATCATTCTCTTTGAAAAAAAAACAGTCGGTAAAACAGCTACTCACTCGGGTCAATAAATCTTTCATCCTTTGTGACGCCACGCATGGAAAGAAACGTGCACACAGATTACTTATAGTACATAGATTCATTACCCAATGGAATGAATATTAATTCTGCGCTTTATTACGGGGGTGTGGACAATTCACACAAAGTAAATTATGAAGTAGTAAGTAAATAAAATATTATTATACACCTGACACCGTAGCGCCATAAGTTACAGCCTGTCGTAATTCTGCGGTATTTTACGAGGTATTTTCATCCTACTATATAAGGAAATGCGAATTCCAAAAATGGAATGATTACGTGCGTAAGAGCATCCACGCTGTAACTTATGGCGTTACGGTGACAAATGTATAATAATATTAATAATTATTGTCATTATTATTATTGATTTACCGGCAAACTAGCTGCTCGAACGCCGTCTATGTCTGAAAGTGAATGTATATTAGGATTAGTGAAATGTGTGATGAATTAAAAATCGACAATAGAAAAATATTTGAATTAAATGTATCAAACCTTGTTCCATAGCATAGTCTTCTAAATCCTGTTGAAATAATAATGCAAATTGGTTTATAATAGTTATATGTTTTTAATAATTCATATACATTGTATATATATATATATATATCAGTTCTTTTTATTTAGATAGTAGAAATTTTTTGGTCAGAGCGCCCTCTAGTATTTGTGGAGAATCATGTTCATTTGGAATGCTCTGATTGGATGGAAGTTCAAGCCTAGCAAGGTGTGATAGAATTGGCCTGTTATGTTCAGATTCAAATAAGCATGAACCACTAATTTGACAGGGAAGTGATACTTATAATGCAGCAAGCTGTTCTAATTGCTGTTGTGGTAGAGTTTTTCCATTTTCCTGTCAAATGCATTTATTGGTCCAGTGAAAATCAAAATAATGTTCCCTGTAACTTAGACTCTTATTGATCAAGGCATTTTAAAAATCATGGGTGTTAACTTCCCTCAAGTTATGACCCGTTGTCCCCTACAGAATAATGGTTGCATCTAATATTAAAATAAAGATGGCGGTGTATAGCGTTGATTCATCTCGTTCTACTCTGGATTACTTGGAGTCAATAAAGATCATAGAAAGTTAGTATTTATATGCCTGTGTGTTTTTTTGTTTGTTTTTTCACTGTCTTTGACTTTCCCAGAATGTTTGTTGCTGTTGACAACAATTCAGTCCTCTGCCAGGCTTCAGTCAATGTTTTTCTTCACTACCTACCCAACACCTCGTCGGGCACTATGTAGCTGGTGTGGTATATTTATCACAGACAGTAGGGCAATTGTCACATTTAGTGCTCCAAGAAAATATTCTCTGTCCATGTGTATTTATATAAATAGATGCAGTTTCTTTGGCTTGAATAACATTCACTGGCTTCGTACATACAGGTATACTGGTTTACCTGTTTCTAGTTGAAATTTAGCCAATCTTATTAACCAAGACAGTTGGACATTTGCCACATGTCACAACACTCATTTCCAAGTGCCATAGCTTGAAACAAGTAGTCAAAGGCGTGATATTGGCTGGAGCTTTAGTTTATATGGACATGGTAAATGGCAACTAGATGGTCAGAAAGTAATAAAAATAATCACAGCTTTACTCCCACCCACCCCCACTATGAAGTAAAAGGCTGTTTATAAGGCCATGCATGATGGTTTCATGTTTCTTATGGAAAACAATTTTAATTATAAACTTCTATGCTCCTGTATCCAACCGTGGGGGTCCATCACACTAAACAACAGGTGTCACTATTACTAAGAAAAATGTACTTTTTTTTCATTAAAATTACTAAATGCTTATACTTATGTACTAAGACGTTAGTTAAAATTTAATATCAGGCAATGCATTGGTTCATTACCCTGGCTACGTGTTAAAATGGGTATGAATTCATTTTGGATAAGTACGTACATAACCGACCAATCTTGGACTTTATTTCAATGTGTTGGTCAGGGTTCTGACCCTGTGTATTTTTCGGTGGGTACCGTTTAATTTCATTACCCTGGCTACGTGTTAAAATGGTTATGAATTCATTTTGGATAAGTACGTACATAACCGACCAATCTTGGACTTTAATTCAATGTGTTGGTCAGGGTTCTGACCCTGTGTATTTTTCGGTGGGTACCGTTTAATTTCATTACCCTGGCTACGTGTTAAAATGGTTATGAATTCATTTTGGATAAGTACGTACATAACCGACCAATCTTGGACTTTATATTTCAATGTGTTGGTCAGGGTTCTGACCCTGTGTATTTTTCGGTGGGTACCGTTTAATTTCATTACCCTGGCTACGTGTTAAAATGGTTATGAATTCATTTTGGATAAGTACGTACATAACCGACCAATCTTGGACTTTATTTCAATATGTTGGTCAGGGTTCTGACCCTGTGTATTTTTCGGTGGGTACCGTTTAATTTCATTACCCTGGCTACGTGTTAAAATGGTTATGAATTCATTTTGGATAAGTACGTACATAACCGACCAATCTTGGACTTTATTTCAATATGTTGGTCAGGGTTCAGACCCTGTGTATTTTTCGGTGGGTACCGTTTAATTTCATTACCCTGGCTACGTGTTAAAATGGGTCTGAAGTCACTCTGGATAAGTACGTACATAACCGACCAATCTTGGACTTTATTTTGCATGCAGGTAAGGTACACCTACAGACATAACTGTGGACATTCAGTTCTTTTTATTTAGATCATGGCAATTTTTTGGTCAGAGCGCCCTCTAGTTTTGTGGAGAATCATGTTCATTTGGAATGCTCTGATTGGATGGAAGTTCAAGCCTAGCAAGGTGTGATAGAATTGGCCTGTTATGTTCAGATTCAATAAGCATGAACCACTAATTTGACAGGGAAGTGATACTTATAATGCAGCAAGCTGTTCTAATTGCTGTTGTGGTAGAGTTTTTCTATTTTCCTGTCAAATGCATTTATTGGTTCCACTGAAAATGAAAATAATGTTCCCTGTAACTTAGACTCTTATTGATCCAGGCATTTTAAAAATCATGGGTGTTAACTTCCTCCTCAAGTTATGACCCGTTGTCCCCTACAGAATAATGGTTGCATTCTAATATTAAATAAAGATGGCGGGAGTATAGCGTTGATTCATCTCGTTCTACTCTGGATTACTTGGAGTCAATAAAGATCCTAGAAAGTTAGTATTTATATGCCTGTGTGTTTTTTTTTTGTTTGTTTTTTCACTGTCTTTGACTTTCCCAGTATGTTTGTTGCTGTTGACAACAATTCAGTCCTCTGCCAGGCTTCAGTCAATGTTTTTCTTCACTACCTACCCAACTCCTCGTCGGGCACTATGTAGCTGGTGTGGTATATTTATCACAGACAGTAGGGCAATTGTCACATTTAGTGCTCCAAGAAAATATTCTCTGTCCATGTGTATTTATATAAATAGATGCAGTTTCTTTGGCTTGAATAACATTCACTGGCTTCGTACATACAGGTATACTGGTTTACCTGTTTCTAGTTGAAATATAGCCAATCTTATTAACCAAGACAGTTGGACATTTGCCACATGTCACAACACTCATTTCCAAGTGCCATAGCTTGAAACAAGTAGTCAAATCTGATATTGGCTGGAGCTTTAGTTTATATGGACATGGTAAATGGCAAACTAGATGGTCAGAAAGTAATAAAAATAATCACAGCTTTACTCCACCCACCCCACTATGAAGTAAAAGGCTGTTTATAAGGCCATGTATGATGGTTTCATTTTTCTTATGGAAAACAATTTTAATTAAAAACTTCTATGCTCCTGTACCCAACCGTGGGGGTTCATCACACTAAACAACAGGTGTCACTATTACTAAGATAAATGTACTTTTTTTTCATTAAATTACTGAATGCTTATACATATGTACTAAAACGTTAGTTAACATTTAATATCAGGCAATGCATTGGTTCATTACCCTGGCTACGTGTTAAAATGGTTATGAATTCATTTTGGATAAGTACGTACATAACCGACCAATCTTGGACTTTATTTCAATATGTTGGTCAGGGTTCTGACCCTGTGTATTTTTCGGTGGGTACCGTTTAATTTCATTACCCTGGCTACGTGTTAAAATGGTTATGAATTCACTCTGGATAAGTACGTACATAACCGACCAATCTTGGACTTTATTTCAATATGTTGGTCAGGGTTCAGACCCTGTGTATTTTTCGGTGGGTACCGTTTAATTTCATTACCCTGGCTACGTGTTAAAATGGTTATGAATTCATTTTGGATAAGTACGTACATAACCGACCAATCTTGGACTTTATTTCAATATGTTGGTCAGGGTTCTGACCCTGTGTATTTTTCGGTGGGTACCGTTTAATTTCATTACCCTGGCTACGTGTTAAAATGGTTATGAATTCATTTTGGATAAGTACGTACATAACCGACCAATCTTGGACTTTATTTTGCATGCAGGTAAGGTACACCTACAGACATAACTGTGGACATTCAGTTCTTTTTATTTAGATCATGGCAATTTTTTGGTCAGAGCGCCCTCTAGTTTTGTGGAGAATCATGTTCATTTGGAATGCTCTGATTGGATGGAAGTTCAAGCCTAGCAAGGTGTGATAGAATTGGCCTGTTATGTTCAGATTCAAATAAGCATGAACCACTAATTTGACAGGGAAGTGATACTTATAATGCAGCAAGCTGTTCTAATTGCTGTTGTGGTAGAGTTTTTCTATTTTCCTGTCAAATGCATTTATTGGTCCACTGAAAAATGAAAATAATGTTCCCTGTAACTTAGACTCTTATTGATCAAGGCATTTTAAAAATCATGGGTGTTAACTCCCCTCAAGTTATGACCCGTTGTCCCCTACAGAATAATGGTTGCATCTAATATTAAAATAAAGATGGCGGAGTATAGCGTTGATTCATCTCGTTCTACTCTGGATTACTTGGAGTCAATAAAGATCCTAGAAAGTTAGTATTTATATGCCTGTGTGTTTTTTGTTTGTTTGTTTTTTCACTGTCTTTGACTTTCCCAGTATGTTTGTTGCTGTTGACAACAATTCAGTCCTCTGCCAGGCTTCAGTCAATGTTTTTCTTCACTACCTACCCAACTCCTCGTCGGGCACTATGTAGCTGGTGTGGTATATTTATCACAGACAGTAGGGCAATTGTCACATTTAGTGCTCCAAGAAAATATTCTCTGTCCATGTGTATTTATATAAATAGATGCAGTTTCTTTGGCTTGAATAACGATCACTGGCTTCGTACATACAGGTATACTGGTTTACCTGTTTCTAGTTGAAATATAGCCAATCTTATTAACCAAGACAGTTGGACATTTGCCACATGTCACAACACTCATTTCCAAGTGCCATAGCTTGAAACAAGTAGTCAAATCTGATATTGGCTGGAGCTTTAGTTTATATGGACATGGTAAATGGCAAACTAGATGGTCAGAAAGTAATAAAAATAATCACAGCTTTACTCCACCCACCCCACTATGAAGTAAAAGGCTGTTTATAAGGCCATGTATGATGGTTTCATTTTTCTTATGGAAAACAATTT